GGTTTAGGTACGATTCCATTTCCAGCGTACAATAGCAGCAAAACGCTACTATGTTTCGTATGGTGAGAGTAGAAAACTGGAGACCCTTTATACTGGAAACGAGGAATTCCATCTTAGTCCTCCAAAGTCTAATAAACCGCCCACAAAAAGAAAATAATATACAGAAAAAAATGACAAGTTTCGGAAAAGAAATTTTTCTATTTATTAATAATTCGTATTATATTATAATAATATACATATATACGTAAACTCCAACACCTATTACCCAGTGGGGTAGGAAGAGACCACGGACTTCCTTCGGGCAGGATCCTGATACACTTCTCTTGCATAGATACATATCCTTAATTAATTTCATATAATTCTTAAAAAAAATCAAAAACGGTACAGTTTTAGATGAGATGATTTCGTTGGTTTTTAATCGGGATAATTAGTTGAAGGTAAAAACTGCCGTTGACTTTCTCGGATATACCGTTTGGGCAAAGCGTGACAATAACAGATCTGTTAAAAACGTATTCTTCATATTATGTCTTGCCACTTGCATTTTCTCTCCACGTGAAGTAAATTCATCAAAATAATCATTTAAGACTAATAAAGTTCACTGCTGAACATATTCCTCCTCTAAGAAATGCCAAGAAACGCGGTCTAGAGCCACCTTCCTATATTTCTTACCAGGGCGTCAATTCATCTGGTGTAGGACCACCCTACACTTTAATTATTTCTTATATTTACGGGAACACATTGAATAAAACCACTTAAACGGATTTTATCGCGTATAATTAACTTATTTCACACGTCAAAGTGACCGAGTGAAGCCGGCCACAGTTGAGCGTGTGCCTGCTATACTACCTTATGTCATAGGAGTCACAGACAAGGTTGGCTACACCTTAAAGCGAGCTTCCATTAAAACATACTACAAGCTGCCGAAGAAGATTACTCAATTTTTACCAACCATCAAGTGTAATATCCCGCCGTGACCATGGGTGCTGTAAAGCACCCGAAACGTCGGCAATTAAAAATAAGTTAAAAAAAAGTTAATTAAACGCGATAAAATCCGTATAAGTAGTTTTATTCAACACCCTACACTTTGTTTAATAAATTTCATAAACATAATTCATTCTTTATTAGTGCTGTTAATTTTTACTTAACTTACTTACTTTCTAACTTAAGAGGCCGCATAATGCTGTTTTGGTGATATTGATCAATCTGGATCTCGGTATCTGTAAGACCTAACAGTTTGCTATTTGGACACATTAAACCTGGACTTATAATCTTCAAATCTGTTGAAGCAAAAACACGATTCGATAAAAAATTCTCGATAAAAAAAATATGAAAAACCCTCGTTTTGCACTTATTTTTAGTTAGATCTCTGAAACCTTATGGAATTTAATGATGATTTTTAGCTAATAGATAGATAATAATGTTATCTCAAATCGTGACGATTTATTTTTTTATTTTTCTACGTGGTCTTCTCGTAATTAGCAATTATGTGATTTGGCGCTTGCGTTATTTAATTCTAAACGAGCACACTCTCTTTCTGTCTCTTGTTTTGTACGTGGTAGCAATAGCGCTATCCTTTTCAATTTGTTCAATCATTCTGCTGCGGCATCTATTACGGGACGAACCTATGTTTGGCGACATTACGGAGAAATGACTATTTCCGACATTTTTATTTTGTATTGTGGTAGGTATTACTGTAAAAAGGAGTTTAAAACGTTTTGTGTAAATATATTACCTATATTTAAAGTGTAAATAAAGATGGGCAAAAAAGAAAACTCTCGGAAAAAAGAAAACAATAAAACGTCTAAGAGAACAACTCCGTATTTTGAACGAAGGAAAAAAAAGTAAGTACCTATCTAACTACCGATATAAATAACGGTATCAATTTAATTTTCATTTTTAATTTTTTTTTCTCAAAAAAACGTTACCCCCACTCTAGGATTTTCTCCTGTATCGTGGAGGCAGTTTACAAACATAAATTGCACGAGGACAAGCACCCTGACCCGGAACAATTATTTGTAGGCCATACAAATACTTGTTCCCTGCGGGATTCGAACCCGCGGCCCCCAGCGCAACAACTCATTGCTAAGCCACTGCGCTACGGAGGCCGTCAAATTATTCTTTTGTTTACGTAGCTTCTTAGGTATTTCGAATATGTATAGAGCCGAACACGAAGGATCGGTTTGCGAATCATTTTTCGAGTTTCAACCTTATTGCAACGAGATAAAGCTCATGTCTAGTGTCACGTCACGTTGCTGCTGGCTGTTGATAAAGTTTAAATTCGTTTGATGTGTTGCAAAAACGTTTTGTAATTTTATTGTTACATAAGTTTGTTTATGTTTATATAAGATCAATCGGGGTGTTATGATAGGTACCACTCGTAGTTTCTGATACCCACGATACAGGGAATAGGTATCACTGTGGGGTTAGGGATAGGTTTTGAATGTTGTGGGTTATGTTATGTTACTTTGACTGCCTCATTGGTCTAGTGGTTGTAGTAGTGCGACTGCTGATCATGAGGTCCTGGGTTCGAATCCCGGTTCTGGCCAAAATTTTTTTTGTAAATAAGTTGAAATTTATAAAAGATCAACCGGTGTATTATGAGAGGTACTACCCGTAGTTTCTGATACCGTCAAGAAATTTTCAGTAGCTGCCCGGAGTCAGGAAGTTGGCGGTGGCCCACCTCCTTGTCTCGGAATGCACGTAAAGCCGTTGGTCCTGCACCTGATCTCTCTCCGGTTGTGTCGGTTTACCGTCTCATCGGATTATGAGGGTGAGGGAATAGAGAGTGCACCTATGCAGTTGGGCACGCCTTAAGCGCATTAAAAAATTTACGTATAACATGATTATATATGATTAACATATATATGATTATACGGAATTTTTTAAAGTAGTTTAAATACATTTCGACAGCACTATCGGCTTCAACACCCTCGAAAACCAATGAAAATGACACCCATGATGAAAAAATTTATACCTAATTCAGCCGCCATCTTGGATTTACATTTCGACAGCACTATCGGCTTCAACACCCTCGAAACCCATGAAAATGACACCCTTGATGAAAAAATTTATACCTATTGCAGCCGCCACCTTGGATTTACATTTCGACAGCACTATCGGCTTCAGCACCCTCGAAAACCATGAAAATGACACCCATGATGAACAAATCAATACCCATTGCAGCCGCCGTCTTGGATTTAAATTTCGACAGCACTATCGGCTTCAACACCCTCGAAAACCATGAAAATGTCACCCATGACAAAAAATATTGATACTACTTACTTTTAGTCTGTACTACTATTATTTATTCTGTGCTTTTAAAATATTGTAATAAAAAAAAATCTCTTATTATTACCATAGTAATGACGCGCTCTCGTGTAGTGTTTTACATATCTACCTAGTTATTTATGATGAGAGTTTATTTTTGTTTAGGAAGCATTACTTTTTGTTATAACGGTAATATGATATTTGTAGTGGGTACTTACGTATGAATATTGCGTGTCGCGTAATTTGTTGAAGCCTCTTTTTTTGTCTTTTTTTTTTTACGGATTTTTTTTTATTATTGTAATTGTATTGTATATTCTGAATATAAGTACATATTAAACTGTTTAATAAATGCATATTTACATATAACATTTTATTTCATGCTAATCTTTTAAGTTTATAAATTGAGTAGGTATGTACGCGAGGACAGAATGATGGATCAGTCTAGATAGTCTCGAGTCCACGAAAAAAAAACACGAGCCTCTAAATTTTGAAACTCGAGTCTCGGAATGGACCCTAGTACCTATTTACGTACTATATTGGTGGTATGTCAGCTTGTAGGCCTATGAAAGAAGCTTCTAAATGTTACTCTTTACACATCGATCCGTCGTACCGTAGAAATACTTCCGTGAATTAGAAATTTATTTGAATAACATATTTTTACTTATACATTTTTATTGCCACACGAATCAAGTTCAAATTCACGAAACGGGGTGTTATTATTCAAAGCTAAACGGTATGTTTACGGTCCGTCTCCGGCACAGATCGCTGTTCATCAGCTGGGCGGCCGGGATCGGCGCCGTTCAAAGTCGAACTCGACTCACGCACTAGATCAGTAAAGTGCTTATCTGAACACATTTCTAAAGACGCAAACTTCGACACGAAATAAATAGCCTATTCACAGATATCATGAATTCTTACAATCATGCATTCGGAAACGTAGGTACTTGCATAGACCTACTACCTACATAACTACATACCCAACGGCTGTCACATTACATACATACACGGCGAAAACTACAAAACGCAAACTTACTACCTGCTAAACCAATGGGCGTATCCTTCCAGTATTTGGAATTTCCAGTATAAGCTGATCTTGCATTGTATAGGCTTTCAGTACAATGAAGAGTCAGCTTATACTAGAAATATAGTTTGAGTAGCCCTTAGTATGTACAATGAAATTAAATTTGCGATATATAATTTTATGTTCATATAATGACAAGTTAATAGTAAATTATGATTGATAATTTTATTACTTACTACGCGTCCGATTATAGTTTATTTTCCTCTAACAAAATCGCTTTGACCTCGTGTTCCCGCGTGACCGCGAGCAGTGTGCGAACGAATGGCGCGGGGAAGTGGGGGGCGAAATTAGAATTTGAGCTGAGGTAGTATAGGCTCTTAAATTATTGTGGTAGAGCTACGCTGGAGCCGTATAATGGTTGTAGCGCTTGAGTCGTGAATGAGTCGGCTTGGACGGGATAGAACCACGATCTTACAGAATACCAGCGTAAAACAGCAACTGAATCGGGGACCCTTTTTACTGGAAAGTACACATTCCGTCTCAACCCTCAAGGGTGATAACGCATCTGAATTTCAATAATTAATTGAGAGGATATGAGAGTCGTGCCCTTTTTATATAAAAAACTAGTTTTTATGATATCATTGTGAGTGTTGTATTTACTTATTTCCCTTAAATGTTTTCTTTTAATTTATATGTCTTATTTTTTTTTCAGTACTGACTGAGGAACCCCGATTTGCGGAGCCTATCCCGAACGTGACTGTAGCGCTCGGAAGAGATGCAAGCCTACCGTGCGTTGTTGAACACCTTGGCACTTACAAAGTAAGTCTTGAAGAGTTAAAAACAACACTAATTAGACTCACGTAATAATAAGGTCTTTCGGACAGAATTTTGTTCACTGCTGTTATTCTAAATGAAAGCTAGCTATTTGCGTAGGACAGGATTATAGTGCTTGAATGTATGCGCGAGCACAGGTGCACTCTGTATTCTCTCACTCTCATAGTTCGATGGCACGGTAATTCAACACGACTTAGAGTGAAAAAGGCGCAGGACCAATTTCCTGTCTATGGGCTGCTACAGAAAATTTCTTAGAAAACCCCAATAACTGATTTTGGCTCGACTCGGGATTTTAAACCAGGATCAGCATCCACCTTTGCGTCCACTAGACCAAAGAGGCAGTGGAATCACATTAATTATAATTGTTGAGTTTATGACAAAATTAATTATAACACGTATAATGTTTTATAAATAACCCTATCGATTGAAACAGTAATTTAAAACCTAAACCCGGCTGAGTCTAAAAATTTTACTGAATAGAAACACATTTGAAACCTTATCACTATCACAACTAAGATGAGTTTAACGTAGACCTCATATGGTACTCGTAAAATCCATCACGCTCGTTAGGCTATTGAGCTTGCCAAAGAAATAGACAATAGACCTACATACATACGTACATACACTCGAAAAAAATTACGCTTGTTCCAGGTCAGTCACTTAAAAACCTTTAATAATTGACACTTAATATTTACTTCCAAATCTTTAGGTTACTGTGTTTTAAAATGCAAAACATTTTTATGTGGTAGAGCCATGCTTCAGATATATTATGGTTGCAGCACGAATGAGTCAGCTTGACCTGGGTAAGAACACGCTCTCACAGAATAGCAGCGTAAAATAGCAGCTCATTTGTGTTTTTTACGACGAGTGTAGAGAATCGGAAACCTTTCTTTGCATCCTACCCTTGGGGGCGGGTTTGCTTCTCGCCGGACGATCCCAACGTTGTTGCGGATTCTGTCGCTGATGTGGTACTTCAGGGTATGGAACTTTTTATTCCTTCCTCTGTGGTGCCCATTGGAGGCAAATCTCAGCCATGGTTTGGTCGCTCCTGTAAAATAGCATCATGCTATAAGCAGGAGTGCTACCGAGCCTGGGTTGATGCATCAGCGTCCAGGGATGTAAACACCAGCGCTCTAAAAAAGAAGTATAATTCCGCCTCTAGGTCCTTCAAAAGAGTCATTGCCAAGGCAAAGTCAGAGCACATAGGCAGAATTTGCGAGAGACTAGTTCGTCTTCCTTCTGGAACTCGTGCATTCTGGTCTCTCGCCAAGGCTGTCCAGGGGAATTTCTGTCAGCCATCTCTTTCATCTCTGCACAGGGAGGACGACTCACTGGCCCACACCGCAAAGGAGAAAGCCGATCTTCTAGGCTCTTTCTTTGCGTCTAACTCGACTCTCGATGACGGGGGGAGTACGCCGCCAACCATCCCGCGGTGTGAGTGCTCCATGCCGGAAGTGCAGTTCACTCAGCGCTCGGTTCGCAAAGCACTCCTCTCCCTGGACATCCATAAGTCGAGTGGGCCTGATGGAATCCCCCCAATTGTGCTGAGGACGTGTGCTCCAGAGTTGGCACCGGTTTTAACGCGTCTTTTCCGGTACTCCTACTCCCTAGGCGTAGTCCCAAAATCATGGAAGATGGCTTTCGTCCACCCGATCCCTAAAAAAGGCGACCGCTCAGACCCGTCCAACTACCGGCCTATCGCCATCACCTCCTTATTCTCCAAAACAATGGAGTCCATTGTAAACTGCCAGCTCATGAGGTACCTTGAGGATCAACAGCTGATTAGTGACCGCCAATACGGTTTTCGCCGTGGTAGGTCAGCTGGTGATCTTCTGGTCTACCTAACTCACAGATGGGCGGAGGCAGTAGAGTCCAAGGGGGAGGCATTGGCCGTTAGTTTGGACATTGCGAAGGCCTTCGATCGGGTTTGGCACAAAGCGCTTCTTTCGAAGCTCCCTTCCTATGGGCTTCCCGAGAAATTGTGCGATTGGATCACCAGTTTTCTTGCGGATCGGAGCATCAAGGTCGTTGTAGACGGTGCAAGCTCCGATTGCAAGCTTATTAATGCTGGTGTTTCACAGGGCTGCGTGCTATCGCCAACGCTGTTTCTTCTGCATATCAATGATATGTTGCAAACCCGTAGCATTCATTGCTATGCAGATGACAGCACTGGTGATGCTCTTTACACCGGCCGAGCCAATATTTCTCGGGAAAACGTCTCTGAGTGCCAGGACAAACTTGTGTCTGAAGTCGAGTCTCTGCTGGACAGAGTCTCGGATTGGGGGGCGACTAAATCTAGTCCAGTTTAATCCCCAGAAGACACAAGTTTGCGCGTTAACCGCTAAAAAGAACCCCTTTGTCGTATCCCCTCAGTTTCAAGGCACTCCCCTTGTTGCCTCAGCCAGTATCGGAATCCTCGGCGTCGACATATCGAGTGACGTGCAGTTTCGTGGTCACTTGGAAGGGAAGGCCAAATTGGCCTCTAAAAAGCTTGGCGTGCTCAGCAGAGCGGGACAGTATTTCATGCCGGCACACCGCCTGCAACTTTACAAGGCGCAGGTTCGGCCGCTCATGGAATACTGTTCCCATCTCTGCGCTGGGGCTCCCCAGTACCAGCTCCTTCCACTTGACCGCATCCAGCGCAGAGCGGCTCGAATCGTCGACGACCGAGTGCTTTCCGATCGGCTCGATTCACTGGCGCTGCGAAGAGATGTTGCATCTCTTTGCGTATTTTATCGCATCTATCACGGGGAGTGCTCTGAGGAATTGTTCGGATTAATCCCAGCCGCCAAATTTCGTGAACGCACTACACGGCAAACGTCCCGATACCATCTACACCATCTGGATGCTTGGCGGTCCACCACTGTACGTTTCAAAAGGAGTTTTCTTCCGCGTACAACCTCTGTGTGGAATAATTTACCACCGGTGATTTTTCCGGACCGATACAACCTGGGGACCTTCAAGAAAAGAGCTTACTCCTTTCTAAAGGGCCGACAACGCACCTGCAATTCCCCTGGTGTTGCGGTTGATCATGGGCGGCGGTAGTCACTTAACATCAGGTGAGCCACATGCTCGTTTGCCCCCTCTTCTATAAAAAAAACCCTTTTAACTGGAAACGAGGCATTCTATCTTAGGGGCATTACTTCTGGGTTACAACGTATCTGCATTTGATTCATAATTAAGGGATAAGTGTTTGTCTATGGACCACAGCATCCACTTATCATGAGGTGGACTGTGTGCTCGTTTGTTACCACTATTCTATAAAAATGGTTTTATATTTGGTTAGCATGCTTATATTTTCTGCCAGTACAATAACGAGCACGTGATGAAATGAGGCAGTGGGTTCTCTTCCGCCTCCACTAGGCCATTCTCTTATAGCCTACAAAAGTCCATCGCTAAACATAGGCTTTCTCATGGAGAGATTTCGTCAAATTTGCCATGCTTGGCAAGCAGGTTAGCGCAGTGTTTTTATTATTTTGAGTTATTATCAGGAAGATGTTGCTGCTCATCTCCTGTTTCATTTTCCCTTTGTCTTCTCTTACGACACCCTCGGGACGATATGAGATAGTAGATATTATACCACCACTACTAGTTTTAACACTAAACAACAAAAACAAATTTTAATAGAACAAATTATATTGCACGCTCTGGTTCAGCTTTGAAGTGTCAAATTCACCTTAAATTAATAGTTTTTAAGTAAAAGGTTGCCAACACGCCAGTGACATTTTCGCGCAAGAACGATCAAGGATTTCCTTTGTGCTTTAATCTAGCCTATTGTTTCAGCCTTTACTCTTTCGCATAGTCACTTCAGTGTTCTTACTTCGGCTGGCCAAGCATGAGTTTGCACCTGTAGCTAAAGAACGAATAAAACCGTAAGGTTTAAAATCCAAGTTTTTCATACAGTTCGTAAAAGGTTCAAAAATATTAATCTATGTAATATTAACTCTTCATGACGAGTGTCGTGTCGACACATATTATGTAGCTGCAACATAGTTTTAACACTCAAAATAATGCATGGGTTGTTAATAATTGTTAGGCGCTAGTAATTGCTCAGGTGCTATTAATATGTACGAAACGCTATCACGTTACAAGAGAAATTCTTTTAAGTTTATTGAGAAATTTCATTTAAATTACTTTTATTTCTAACGTGTAATGTCGGTGTAAGTATCCACTTCTACAAGTGCACTTGTGGATATTGAGACAACTGAGGGAAGCACAACAGAAAAAGAACAGCAGCACGTTATCCTAAATCTATTACTGAACATAAGCCTCCGTTCATCCATACATTATAGCCTACAAAAGACCACCGCTTGACAAAGGCCCCCTCAATTTTTTCAATGGGTGATATTTAATATCGTCGCGCGCTTGGCAGGCGGGTGGATAACCACAGATTTATTTTATTTTAAGTTGTAATTAATAGTTTGTATCAGGAAGCTACTGCAGTTCATCTTGTTTAATTTCTCTAAGTCACTTTTTGTCATATCCAAGTGAATATGGGGAATATGGTATAGTAGATTCTCTAAAGCCGCCACTATGTTTTGAATGTTAATTATCCATACAGAAAGTGTTCACCGTAATTAAGACTAAAGCTAATCTACCGGACTTTAAACGAAAATTGAGTGACGATTTTACTTAAATATTGTATTTTGTTTCTCTCGTTTTCTTCGTGCTAACATTATCTGAATCCTTTGAAATAAAAATAACTTTTTGTTCACTAATGGGAATGGAATGAAGGAAATAAATGACGTAAAGTGTAAATAATGTAATGTAATGCACACATTTTAAACACAGCTTCAATGTGTTTTATTTTATTGTGTTTGTTGTTGTCATAGTATTACACAAGATGAGTAATTTCCTCGTACTATTACCATAGTATTTATAGCAAAAACTATATAAATGATAATGCCAATTTCCAGTCGTATTTAAAACAACTAGAACCTGATAACTATTTGCCTAACATTTTTGTAGTTAATTTCGAACTGCCATAAAAATTCACAGTTCTCAAAATTTCTAAATAATGCCTTAGAAGA